AGATATCCTGTAGTTCAAAGTTCTTAGGAAGCCACGGTCAAGGTTCAGGAAGAAACATTTCAGAGCTTCGTCTTCGTTTTATTTTTAGAACACGGGAGGCCATGGGAGGTGCTATGGATTTTCGAGAAGCACTGAGACGGCGACTGAATATTATCCAGCCTTCGAGAACCCACATTGCGAAGTTTCTCTGTGATGAACCACATCGTCTCACACATGGCATAAAGTAAGTCCTACGAACCTACGAGGCGGTTGGTTGGAAACTGAGCGATGACGGGAATTATAAATGTGTACAAGCGACACCTAGTTGATGAATTTAAATTGTATAGCTTCCTCTCCTGTGCAGATCTTGTCGAGAGGTAGGACGTGAGACGCATACAGTATTTTGCTCTGTGCTGGTTGACAACATTTCTACTCTTCTATACAAAGAAAGGAGTGGAATTCCAAGTATTATTGTATTGGCTGTTTTGCGATGTAATTCTTGGCGTTTTCACTCCTTTTGACTCACTTGAGTGAATTGGAAAGAAGTAAAAGGATAAAAGAAGTCGTTCCAGTGCAAAAATCTGAAATTGTTTTTGGGTTGAGAATACATACCTTTTTTTCTCTGCATATTCGCATAGGAAACCACATTCCATAATATGAAGTTCAGTTGAACCTTGATAACTCAAACCGCTCTAAGTCATACGCCTCCCTAAGTCAATTTTTTTCAAGTCTCCACCCTTGGAAACAATGCATCAATGAAAACTTCCTTAATTCAATGGAACTTCTTCTCAAACTTCCATAAGTCGAATTTTCTGAAGCTTTTGTCTCTAATTCTATTGACACAGGTAAGAGATTAGCAAATAAAAAGTAATGATGTGTTTTGAAAGGAGAGGAAAGAGTAAATCGGCAATTAAATGAACTACTGTTGCTAAGTTCAGCATGCTTTCAACTCATTTAAGAAGGAATCTAAGGCCCAGAATTTCACCGTTTACAGTTTCCTTCAGTTTTTTCCATCTTTCCCAATACAAAAAGGCTTCTTTCCCTAACTCAAAACCTCCAAAAGCAGACTTTTTTGCTAGTCCCTTGAAGTTCGACTTAAAAAGGTTCAAGTAAGAAAATCATTTCTTGCAAAAAAAGTCTTTTTTCCTTGCGTTAGCCACCACATATTTGTGTATTGGGTTCTTCGTAGGGATTTGGTGTCACTGTTGCACAAACGCGGCGTGGACGTGTACCTGGTCTCCGGAGGATTCAGGTGTCTCATCGAACCCGTCGCCAAGGACCTGTGCATCCCGTTCGAGAATATCTTTGCCAATTCACTCAAATTCTACTACAAAGGCTCCTATGCCGGTTTCGACGAGACTGAGCCGACCTCGCAAAGTGGTGGCAAGGCTGTCGTAGTCAAGGCACTCAAGGATAAATTCGCTTATAAGAACGTGGTCACCATTGGCGATGGTGCGACGGACTTGGAAACGTTTCCAACTGCTGACGCCTTCATTGGTGAACCACCTTGTATTTAAATAATTTAATTGTCTGGTCTGGTTCTGACTAACAAAGTTTAGTCACATGGTTCCCCGTCCCCGTCGCAAATGAAGTCGAAAGTCTTCGCTTCCAGTAGGTGACATTTTGAAAAATAACAAAACATGAAAATAATTTCTGGATGCATGCCTTTGCTGAAAATTGCTGTGTTTTGGAAATACTGTAGCTTCCACCGAACAACAGACGGGGTTTTCGGTAATTATTGTCAGTAGAGTTGAAAATAAAGACAGACCATTTTCTCTTTTCTGATCCCCGAAGATGTTTACCTACCATCATCAGCCACTTAATTACTTGTTTTCCTTCCCATCTCAAAATAATTAAAAATTATAGCTGACCTGAGGGGAAAAATATTGAAAACAAAGAAGAGAAAGTTCTTCCTGAATGCTCGCCTGTTCTGAAAATGTTGGGTATTTTGATTGAATGACCAGTTTTCCACGGAATAGCAGATCTGGGTTTATTTGTTGTTCAGTTTTAGTTGAATTGAAAATGAAGTCGGAAAATGTTCGTCTTTTTCTGGTATCTGAAGCTGTTTTTCGACTAACTCCAACGCTTTATTCTGTACCACGCTATGAAACATTTTCACGTGCCTTGATCGTACAAACCTGTCATTTATTTCATCTGAACTGTGCGGCAAATATTTCGGCAGTTGCAGACATTTATATTTCTACGACAAGTAAAATTCGTCCCTGAAGTCATCGTGGGGAAATTTATTTAAATTTTGCTGATATCCGAGTTGCCCGCAAAATATTCGAAGATTCGAACGTTGACGAACTTTTTATGAGTTCCTTGAACAAAACAATCTGGCTGCTCCGAATTAATATTTTCACACCTTTTTTCAATATTTTTTTCATTTATTCATTCAGTTTATTTATTTATTTATTCAGGTTTCGGTGGAGTCGTTGTTAGGGAAGCGGTCCGAGCAAGAAGCGGTTGGTACGTCACGTCGTTTGAAGAATTGATTCAAACGCTTAATTACTGATTCGTGACCAAACCCGGGATCGTTACCTTCAGATGTCTTCCCATTATTATAATGAGGAAGTGTTGGAATTTGTCGGATCACATTCGAGCCAATTGGATTACTATTACATTGGTGCTGTACATATTGTTTTTTGACGGACGAGGGTTTTACTTACTTTCTGGAGATGATGCTTATTTCTAATGAGAAGTTTTTTTGTTNATGAAAATAATTTCTGGATGCATGCCTTTCCTGAAAATTGCTGGGTTTTGGAAATATCTTCCACCGAACAACAGACGGGGTTTTCGGTAATTATTGTCAGTAGAGTTGAAAATAAAGACAGACCATTTTCTCTTTTCTGATCCCCGAAGATGTTTACCTACCATCATCAGCCACTTAATTACTTGTTTTCCTTCCCATCTCAGAATAATTAAAAATCTTCGCTGACCTGAGGGGAAAAATATTGAAAATAAAGAAGAGAAAGTTCTTCCTGAATGCTCGCCTGTTCTGAAAATGTTGGGTATTTTGTTTGAATGACCAGTTTTCCAGGGAATAACAGATCTGGGTTTATTTGGTGTTGATTTGTAGTCGAATTGAAAAAAAAACTCGGAACATTTAATCTTTTTCTGATATCTAAAGCTGTTCTTGGACCAACTCCAACTCTTGATTCTGTACCACGCTATTCTTGATCGTAATTTGGACAGTAAATAAAGTAGACTTGACACGCCGTTTATAAAGCCGTCAACGTCTGTAAATATAAAGATGCTGTTCATTTTAAGCAGGGACTTCAGTAGCACCCCTTTAAATAAATTTAAAACGACTTATCCGAGTTGCCCGCAAAATATTCGAAGATTCAAGATTAAAGAACGTTGACGAACTTTTATGAGTTCCTTGAACAAAACAATCTGGCTGCTCCGAATTAATATTTTCACACCTTTTTTCAATATTTTTTTCATTTATTCATTCAGTTTATTTATTTATTTATTCAGGTTTCGGTGGAGTCGTTGTTAGGGAAGCGGTCCGAGCAAGAAGCGGTTGGTACGTGTGCAGCAAACTTCTTAACTAAGTTTGCGAATTAATGACTAAGCACTGGTTTGGGCCCTAGCAATGGAAGTCTACAGAAGGGTAATAATATTACTCCTTCACAACCTTAAACAGCCTAGTGTAAGCTGCCAATTGGATTACTATTACATTGGTGCTGTACATATTGTTTTTTGACGGACGAGGGTTTTACTTACTTTCTGGAGATGATGCTTATTTCTAATGAGAAGTTTTTTTGTTCCTTTCTGAGACATATCTTACCTAATAAAGTTACTTGCGAACGGCCGTGTGTGGGAGCGCAACTCTCTTACTTTTTACACAGGGTCCTGTTCAAAACTCACTCCCAATGAGGGGATGCAGAGGCTCCTGCAGGGAATTCCCGTTTCCCATTTTTGTGAGTTTAGAAACACGTCGTTTGAAGAATTGATTCAAACGCTTAATTACTGATTCGTGACCAAACCCGGGATCGTTACCTTCAGATGTCTTCCCATTATTATAATGAGGAAGTGTTGGAATTTGTCGGATCACATTCGAACCAATTGGATTACTATTACATTGGTGCTGTACATATTGTTTTTTGACGGACGAGGGTTTTACTTACTTTCTGGAGATGATGCTTATTTCTAATGAGAAGTTTTTTTGTTTCTTTCTGAGACATATGGATTAATAAAGCTACTCGGAAACTGATGGCCAAATTTGAGTGGTTTCTATTTTCGTTGCGTTGAATATCCCGGCACACGGGATGAATTTCCTTATCTGACACTCAATTAAGATTGAGAAACTGACGAGGTTCGCGTCAACAACGGAACTGCTCAAAATCCGTTTTGCTTTTCGCCGGAGATTATCTTATCTGTTCATATCCACATGTGGAACCACTGGGTGAGATTTTAATGAAGCACTAGTATTGTTAGGAATCAGCACCCATCCGAAGCTGAATATTTTATTTCGAAAAATGAATCCGGTTTTTAATTTAAGTTGTGTCCTGCTGGTGGCGATTGTGTTGGCAGGTGAGTCCCGACGCGGGAATCCGAATTCAGTTTTTTTTTTTTCCTGGTTTTAAAATTCGTGTCCAATTTTTATTCTTGTCATGCTCGGTTATTGTCTGTGATTCAAGGGAGGGAAGTGCTGTATCCTTAATATCTGTATAAACAAAAATATTTAATATTTTCAATTTCGGTTCCATGTATAGGGTTGTCAGATGTCGAAGGAGCTAAGATAGGTCGCAAGTCGGTCCATCTCACGTCAAGGGTAAAATGCGACCCGAATGTGCTCAACTCGCCGGAAGTTCTTGCGATGGTTGAATTTCGCAGACGTCTGAATGCTCACCAACGGAATAATTCCGTCACATTATCCTCAAAAACCATTGGTAATTTCCATCATAGAAATATTTTTCTTGGCATATATTTTTGTGTCAGACATGCCAGCAGGAATCAGCACAATTTATGAGAGGCGTTTTAGGATCTGACCTGGATCGATTCGGAATCCTTCAGTTCCGTCCAAAAAATGGACGATAATTTGGATAAGTGTCATTTTTATAATATGGAGGGAGATGTCGGAAATTTTGTGGTATTTCTTTCGGATTGCGTCTTTTTTGAGAGAAACGACACGAGAAACGCTTGTCAAAACGTTCGAGAAATTTAAATGGTTTAATGCGTGTAACTCACGGCACTGAATTGTAAAACGTCGTTAGCTTTCGGAATCACATCGATCTGCTCATACTGACCGATCATTGAAAATTGGAAAAATTGAAAAAATATTTTCATCAATATAGTGCCTAAAAATGGGAGGGACATCGTCATTCTTCCGTCGCTGGAACTGGTTCCTTTATGTTCGTCATTCAAAAAGCAGAAAAGATTGACAAATCGTGAAAATTACTGACGTATCTGAATCATATGATCCAAAGAAATACCGTAAAATTATAGCGTTTGGCTCGCTGCTTTTAAATCAAAGGCAAGTGAAAGTATAAATATTATCCTAAATATACCTCGAAACCTTTGAATCATGAAATTGACTTCCGTCGAAATAATTTCAAGTGAACTTCACCGAGATTTTTTTTAGCTCGACTCATTGAAGTACTTTTACCGTCTAGAAACCGACCTACTTCTCTTTTTGCAACCCAATATTCTGGCACAATCAAATCGATCGCTATTCTAAATTTTATCAAGCTGGAAAATGGCAGTTATGGTCGGAATGGAAAAGAAAATTAATGTTCAATTTTGTCGTTAGGGAAAATGCCTTGAAATATATATTTTTGGTTGGAACGATTCAATTTACAACAAAAAAGATACAGTTTTATGTACTATTGAAGCAGAAAAAGCTAGTACACGAAAATACATTGAATGCAAGAATAATGAGAACAAATAGATGATATCGAGAGGGTCGATGGACGATGCAATAGATTTTTCTTATAACCTTCTCAAAAACTTTCAAATTTCGTTCCATTGGAATAGGAACTTGAATTTTCATTCAAAAAAAGGTGCGCAGTTTGTGAAATGCCGAAAGAGTACAAGTATGCACGGTATACATTTTTAAAATTGATATGGTGCTAGTGAGTGAGTGAGTGAAAATTGAATTTCAGTAACGTTGGATTTCACTAAACATCAAAGCCTGTGTTCGTTTAAAAGTTTTCCCATATTAATGAATTGGACTGTGGATGATTCACGAAGTCGAAGAATTTAAATTTCATAGGACAAAGAAGCCCGTTAGATTTGAGATTTGAGTCGCAATATTTGTTGCACGTGCTGCTAGCTTAAAAAATAGCATACCAAATTTTTGAATACAGTACTATAATTTTCGGATGTATTTGCTCAAGGAAAACGAGAAGCAGTCGACTGTCACTTCGAACAGTGTCAGGCAAATATTTGCCCAAATGGTTGCGACCAATGTCAAGGTGGAGTCGGAGAAGTTTGCTTATTCGATTGCGGATTAGAACCCCACGAGGTTTTCTGCGACTGCTTCTACACGTGCAGCTCCTGCAGGAGACGTGACATCGAACCTTGCCCTGGGGCCACATCCTACTCTGTCCCTGATTTTTGCTGCGGTACCACTGAATTGGTTGATTGCGGAGACAGAATCCCCTGTGAGAAATACTTTAGAACAGTGTTCCGCAACCTTTTTTGGGCCCGCGGACCAGCAAATTTCCATAACATTTTTCATGGACTGGCATATTTCCGAAAATATTTCTGCAGGCCAGAAAAGTTTCATTACATTTTTGCAGACTCGCAAAAGTTTTGTTTGAAAGACTTTGCAGCAGGCTTTTAAAAAGTTTCTACTTCATTAAAAATAATTGAATTAAGAACCAATGAAGCATCAATATATCCTTCAAAAAATTGGAAAGGTGGGCTTGCAGAAAAGTTTCTCAGAATGCAAAATTAAAATAATTTATTTCTGCAGGTGAAAATTTGTCTGCAGAGTTTAGGATAAAAGCCAACTTTTGTTTTTCATCAGATAATTTCAACTGCCATTGTAGTTCTGAATTTCAAATGAAGATGAAAGATCTCATGGCTACTTTTGATCATTTTATTATGCTGAAGAAAATTTCCCGCAGGCCACGGGTTCGGAAACACTGATGTGCATTAGCTCATAAAATGAACCACATTGGAATACCTTTTTTTTCAGATGATGAATTCGTCGGTACTTCATCGACAGCTGAGCAATCCTCCACGACAACATCAGGCACTACTCAGACAACACACTCAACACCAGCAAAAACCACTTTCCAACAAACTCCGGAAGCAACAACATTTTCTGAAACACCAACAACAACTACTACTACTACCACCACCACCACCACCACACGTCCACCACCCACGACAACCGAGGGTTCGATTTCGACGACCCCGCAAAACCCGGACGTGTTCAACTGTCCAACAAGCGACGGGGATTATCCTCATTTGAAATACTGCTGGAAATATTGGCATTGATGGAAAGGTGGGCTTGCAGAAAAGTTTCTCAGAATGCAAAATTAAAATAATTTATTTCTGCAGGTGAAAATTTGTCTGCAGAGTTTAGGATAAAAGCCAACTTTTGTTTTTCATCAGATAATTTCAAATGCCATTGTTGTTCTGAATTTCAAATGAAGATGAAAGATCTCATGGCTACTTTTGATCAATTTATCATGCTGAAGAAAATTTCCTGCAGGCCAGGGGTTCGGAAACACTGATGTGCATTAGCTCATAAAATGAACCACATTGGAATACCATTTTTTTCAGATGATGAATTCGTCGGCACTTCATCGACAGCTGAGCAATCCTCCACGACAACATCAGTCACTACTCAGACAACACACTCAACACCAGCAAAAACCACTTTCCAACAAACTCCGGAAGCAACAACATTTTCTGAAACACCAACAACTACTACTACCACCACCACCACCACCACCACCCCACGTCCACCACCCACGACAACCGAGGGTTCGATTTCGACGACCCCGCAAAACCCGGACGTGTTCAACTGTCCAACAAGCGACGGGGATTATCCTCATTTGAAATACTGCTGGAAATATTGGCATTGTTNCACGTCCACCACCCACGACAACCGAGGGTTCGATTTCGACGACCCCGCAAAACCCGGACGTGTTCAACTGTCCAACAAGCGACGGGGATTATCCTCATTTGAAATACTGCTGGAAATATTGGCATTGTTTACAATTCCTTTCTATTTTGAGAGAATGTTCATCCGCCTATTTGTTCAACACAAACACCAATGATTGCGACCCGGCGTTTCTTGTCAATTGCGGAGACAGGGAACCCAGACCTTGAGCGATGAAGAAAGCGAAATTAAAAGTGTTTCAAAATATTTATACGCCTTGGTGAATTCTGCAATACAAAAAAAGAGCATTATTTTGGAAATTCCGGCGAAGAAACAGGATTGTATATGAATTTTATGATGACAAAATGACTAGACGTGAGAGGGTTAAATCATGAGTCCATTTTTCAATCTTGTGCTTTTAGTTAGTTATTGCAGTTTTTTAAAAGTTGGATATCAATAATTAACCAATTAATGTTTGATCATTCAAAATATTTGACTTCGAAATGAAAAGGTGAAACAGTTTTTCTACGAGCTTCCCATGACACATGAATTAGCAGACGATGCAATTCAAACGATATTTTTAAAATGAAACAAAAACCTGCCCTGACCTAGTTCTATGACACTTATTCAATTTCAAAATTCCCTGACCCCGACAATTTCTTGTACAGTATGAATAAAAAAATTACTGGCCAACAATTGAAATAAATGATGGAATGGTATTCGAATACTGTACTGCAATAAATGGAAGAATGGTTTTCAAATTCAGGGTTGAAATACAAGAAATTCATTTATTTGAAAATAAACAACTATTAAATAAATTATTTTTATTGCAACCGAATTTTATTAAAAACTAAATTTTAGCACCGAATATTCTTCATATTACGGTCCTGAAAACATTCCCGAACCATAAAAACCTTCCATAACTTGAAATAAGTGCCATTTATCGCCCCAAAACGGCACTGATTCCACAAAAACCAACTGTCATTTAATAATAGCTTTTGCACTCTTGAAATCAGGTTAATATATACAAATAAGAATGAGGATCATGTGAGGTTCAATTCATGAAATGAAAAATTGAACGTTTTCCATGGATATTATCTCTATTTGATGGTCTGCATATTTTGAAAAGGAGGAAATTCCCACGAACGTTTTTCCACGGTACTTGTCGTCAATGACTCTTTGTTCAGAGATCCGCAAAAGTTCACCGAGTTCACGGCGAATTGGTTGGTTTGAGTTCTTTGAGGAAATCATTCTGATGTTTGAAGGCATGTCATGCTTGAAATTCCTTTCAGTCAATGGAGTTGCAAAGGCCTGTTCAACGGAGATGAACATCATCAATTGTTCTTTCCTAATTTTTTTCCCCCACCGAGTAACGGATTCCACGCTTCGTGGTCAAGAGTTGGTCGAAGGAGATAAAAGAACCCTCTTGAACACGCAGCAGAAAAAAGGTTACCATTTCACCCGTCATGCAATTTGTCTCTACACGATTTGTTAGAGTTCACCGGACTTCGGAATTTACAAGAATGAAGTTGCATCTGACGTGATCTTAATCGCACAGAAGAAAACGTGAAGTAAATCGGGTTTGGCCTAATCCAGAAATGATTACTTCATCCATGCTCGAAGAACCTGGTGATGGAATTCAGGCCGACTTCGTGATCGAGCTGATGGGGTCGATGAGATTGAGTCTTTTCAAGAGACTCTTGCGACTTCTCACAAGTTTTTTTTTTTTTCTGTGCAGCAGGAAAGATGAAAAACTGTTGAAGCTGAAGCCCTTTTGTCCTTTTGGGAAACTCAAGGAGTTTTCCGGAAAGAATAGGGTCTTCTAGGGTAGCACAAAAAACCAGAACATTCCCACTCAATTCTGAGGAATGCGCGCAAAATATTTTCCCAGCAGTGTGCTCCTCAATTCTAAAAATTATTGAAGTTCAGAAGTAAGCTTTCCTTTTTTATGCTTGGATTGAACTCAGGCCTACATTTGTTGAATTGAATTGAACAGCAAGCTTTATTTTCCAATTTTCAGCATTCACAAGGTTCAAACAATGTTCCTGCATCCAAACCCCCTCCCCACCCACATTCATCCAAACACATTCCATCACATCAGAATGAAATATATAGAAATAAGCTGCATACGAATATTAAGAGAAAATAAAATGCATCCCAAAATGTACAATTTCACAATTAATGCAAATACATAAACCTTCTTCCCTTCCTTGATAACAAAAACAAAGTGTCAGTAATACAAATTACAGCATAAGGCAATTACTGAACCCAAATTAAAGCAAAAAGTGTTCAACCTGATCCCAGGTAAGTTGATTGAAGAATTTGGAGAGAATCTTAGATGATTAATTATATAAAGTTATTCAAATTTAGTTTCTCAGCAGTTCAGCACTACGATGAAATTCAGAAACGCGTTGCCTTTGAATCCACCCTGTTGATATATGTGGAGAAGAAAATATGCATATCGCGGTTTTATTTATCGAAGGGTTTCCCGAATCTTGTTTTTAATTTTTTTGTGAAGATAACCTCCAGAAAACGGATTTAATTTTTTTCGTATTGGTAAAATAGCACGGCATTTTGGAAGATATGAAGAAGTGACAATGGCCTTCTGATGGTCTTCTCAAGAGACTCTTCGGCATCAGGTGGTCTAAATTCTTCCTACACGAAGTCATTATTGATTTGCTGGCTGATCCGACCAGCAGATGTTGGCCCACCTGTGAGGAGTTTTATTTAAGTTGGAATACCCTGCTTCTTCATCATTTTTGCGCACATCCGGTCGCAATATTTTCCGTTTCTTCGAATCGCATTCGAAATAGGAATAATAAGACATGTATGCGGCTTAAGTTGGAAAATCCAGTCCGCTATTCGATGGATTTTCGCAAATTTTCAAAATTTAGCAAGAATAAGGTAACATAATACCGTATGTTCATCGCAGTTCTATTTTCGATGCTCAAAGGGATGCAATTTCTGCCCTTTCATAGTAATGCACGTTCTCCTCTGTTATCAGGATTCAAAATTATTATGATTTACCCTTTTCAACTTTTGATTCCTGGAATATTTCGAATAATAAGATCCACAACTGAAGTGAGACCTCAATTTTAGCGCGTCAATCAACTACGGCGGTACAAAGGCTATTATTTCTTCATCAGCTGGGTGAATAAAGAAATTCCCTATAAAGTAATGCCCTATAATTTTTTAAATTCTTTTATGGACAAAATTTAGGGCATTTTGCGGTAATTGGTTTTATCTCTCTCTCTCCCACTGTATCTCATACTCTCTCTCTTTTTTTTATATCAATAATATGGCTTTCATCGATCGTATGCTTTTTTGGACACTTGCTTATGGTGTTTGATGATACGATTATGTTGAAAGTGTGTTACGCAGTGTAGTGCTTATATTTTTTGCTGAGTACGTTCTTGATGGTTCAGGTATTTCGTATTGGATTAACTTAAGGTACAATACGATTATAGGGTACTGCTAACGAAGAAAATATCCGATTTATGCTCTTTATTTCTCAGGGCGAAGAACTTGAAAAAATATTTGAAAAATGTAAAAAGGAACTTCTTCAAATCTCTCTTTTGTTTCGCATGCAAATTTAAAAATCGAGCATCTGCAAGCAAGATTTCTTCAAAAGGCAATCAATATCCTCAAAAATTTTCCATGTGCAGAAGCGTTTGAAATATTGCTGAGCAGTTTAAGATATTTTTAGCAATCATGTTTTATGGCAGGCGAGGAATTCCGCAGAGGAATTTGAAGCGCGAGAAATTTCCGAAAATGACATCAGAAGAAAAAAACTTTCAAAACAATGTTCCTTGTAGGTTCTCATATTATAAATGAAAGTATATACGTCAGGAATCGCGGAATCCCCCCCCCCCCGGAAAATGCGTTTTAAATTGATGAAGCTGTGGTAGTATTTTTTGCAGATTCCTATTAAAAGACGAAAAAAGAACCGCTGCTTCATTGAAAAGCTTGGTTCATCACTCTTGATCAATGAGAAGGCTCCAGATGCGATTACCACCATTTTCAAGAAGATTCTTGCGATACTTTCACGAGTATAGATGTTCATTTATTTCGTTCAAACACTGCCTCTCGAACACAGCTTCCAGTTTTCATCGATTTCACACAGTGAAAACTCAGGATGAAGAGCAGAATCGAGGTCGAAACTTATTCGCTGCGGTTTTTGATTTTTCCCAGCGATTTTCTTATTGATGATGTGTTTTTCGTGAACAAAACGATTTTGTAGAATCATGCAACAGAGAAACGAGAATAATCGGACGATTTTTCATACCGCGTTGCTGCTGGCGAAAATCACCGGAATGAAATTTTTGAAGCACAGAGAGCTGCTTAAAATCACTGATCCGCAATGTGTAGGTAGGTTTGTTAGTTTTTTGGGACTTTTTCTGGATGAATGGAGATGGCTGTAATTATCACAGAGGAATACATGATCGTTCCATGACCAGAGTTGCCATTTTATCATCACCTAAGTTGAAAGCGCGCATCACTAATGTGAAGAGACACGGTTTATACTTGGCACATCTGAAAGATCTTCTGAAAATTTGTAAGCAGTTTAATTACTTGTAAATACTCTTGATAAATCTAGAAAGTTCTAGAGCGACGATGTCCGAGATGTGACGTCCGTGTCTCAACGTATAGTAAATAAGTCATCATTTGGATAATTCCGCCTTTCTTTTACCGCTTTATTTTGTCTACCTTTATTGTACCTGAGATTATTATCTATATGCATGGAAAATGCGCAGAAATATTTGCGGGCGAGTTTTTTGTTTTTGTTTCCTGTTCGAGAGAAGTTTTCTTATCTTGGAATTTCGTGAAAAGAATCAGTCCATGCAGCAGTTCAACAAGGAGCAGAGCTGCAATAAATGAACTCCATTGAAATTCAAAAGTCTATACGGATTTTGGGGGAAAAGTCTATAAAAAACATATCTCAGGTAACAGGAACAGTGTCAATTTTGGAATTATATTTCTGCCTGAAACTCCTTTTGTGAAAGTGTTGCTGTCCGCCGTCTTGCATGTCACCCAGCTCAAAACCCACATCAGAAGGTAATTTCGAGTTAATGGAAATTTCTCAAAATAAAACACAATCCCTCGTTTTTACCAGGCATTTCATATTTATGATTTTTTTTGTTTGTTAGTTCTTCCTGCTTCCGCATCAGGACGAAGATAGCTTCGGACGATACAGAGCCTGAGAATCACGTAACGGTTGCCAGGCTTTTGGTATAGAGCTTTGCTTAACCGGCTTTACGTGACTCGAGTGTGATGGAGAAGTTCCCCGAATTGAAAAGAAGCCCGGGAGAGAAATAAGTGGACGAGGAACCGGTGCGTGACGACAAAAGGCGTGTGTGGGAAAGTCGTCAAGGTGTCGTAGGATTTAATGACAAAAACGCCCATTGAGGTTTATTGAGAAGAGCCGTTACCGAAGCCTCTCATTGTTTAAGCTGGGCTCGTTTAAAACAATGCTGGAACTCAGCGACGAAATTACGTGACCATTGACGGAGCAAAAAGTGAGAATTCAGCGAGGTGACGATGACAGGATAAGAGTGCGTATTTACAACTGAGCAGCAAATGAAGTTTTGTTGGATAAAAAAAACTTCAAATTTACCTTATCGAAAAAAGAGGCGTTTTCATGTTTTAGAAAGAAAAAGGCGCGTTTATAAATGGCTGGAACCTGAAATTTTCATACTACAGTACTGTAATCCTAAATCAACCCTTGATAACGATTGAAAATTCTTCACCTCAAACATATGCAAATACATTGAACACTAGGAAAACCCGTACGTTTAAAAGATAATCTGAAACTCCAAAATGCAGACAAATGACAGTTCGATGGATTTTAGTCCAAAAGCCCCCCTAGGTCAAACCCCCCCCCCCTTCCAAAAGCCCATCATTGAAATTGATGGAATCTGAAAGGTATTATTGAAACGCATACGATAGTTGCCCTCGTATTAAAAATTTAAATTTTGACTCATTGTCCACATACGTATATAATACTTTTATTGCTTTTTGAGTTGTCTGACGCATTCATCTGCTTCTATGCGAGTTGTGGCGCACCTGAACGACACCAACTTTTGATTTTTGCGTAGCAGCGGAATAAAAATAGACATAAGACAAGTAATTTCTATGGAAATTTTCATTTCGATGAAAGATCTAGTCTCAGAGTTGAAGACATTACTCGAGGGAGTCATCGAGGCTGTGATAATTATTGGCACGTCTGCTTCATTTTAGCACGGACGTGTCGCGCTACACTAGACGAAAAATGACTTCCGATTTTGTGCGCAGTCCTTTCTCGAAACAGGAACATTCCACAAAATGAGAAAATATTTTGCATCCTGCAGTTCGGTCTCTTCCATGAGCGCCACATTGAAAATTTGGACCTATGAACATTGCTCGTTTTCGTGAGTCAAAAAATATGCTTCGGATATGAATTTTCATCGCAATTTGATGCTTGAGATGCTGCGGCATTTTTTCGATTCTCCAGAAAGACGGAATCGGGGGAATGTGCGGTCAGAAAACAACGGAATCCCGCATTTCTCACGGCGTTTTTGCTCACACATCGCGGTCGTCGGAGAAGATGATGAAAATCGGTCGCACATAGTAAGCCATGTAGGATTTATCGATGCCGATAATCCCTGGATGCTGGAATAAAAAAAAAGACAAGAAATTTTTGTCGGCTTTTCGTGCGGAAGCGGAATCTTTCTTCGCTTTAATACAAGGGGAGTTCCTAAAGTATATTACCAGCCAATAATAGTCATACCAGTCGTCTTATTTTTTTAAAACATAAATACCAAGAATTATATTTATTTTTAGCATCTCATCATTGGTTTATAAACTTGGTTTCAAAACATTCCATTCCATGTCAAGTAACACAAGAAACAAATCAAGAGATTAAAAAAAAATTAGATTATAATTTCTCTCTGGATTTATATTCTAACGCGCAAAAGTGAGAGCATTGTAGTGGATAAAATCAGTGAGTTTTGGTGGTCTGTCGTTTACTGGAGTTACCAAAATTTTCGAAAACTTTGCAGTTTCAAAGATTTAAAGAAACGACTCATGCTAAGCGGGTTTACATTTTTAAAAAGAAATCAATATTGTCTGATTTTTCTTAATCAATGTTACATAAGAATGAAAACCAACAATGATGATTCACTGTTTTCCCAGGCATATAGAAGAAGACAGTCGAAAACTTTAGTTGCGAAGCCAGCAGTGGAAAATTATCGCCTTGAACTTGAAAATCATTGCTTCAATCAGAAAAATTGAATCAATATGAACGGAAAATTCAACCCTGTCAATCCCGAACATTTAACATAAAAAGTCCGGAAAATCTGATCAACTGTATCTGCTTATTTTGTTCGCGAATGTTCTTTCTTTTTAAGATCGAATGATTTACGAATGAATAAAACATTTATGAAAGAATTGATTTCATTTCCATGCATTGAAAATGGTATGGTAACTCGGAAGACTTCTGGGAAACCCCTAGTATTCGAGCCAAGTGTGGAGAAAATTATTTATTACTGATGCAGTTATTTGCTCGATTGTCCTTGAATCCACGAGATCTCGAGTGGAACGAGTGTCGAATTTAAACTAAGGATTTTTGCCGTGGAGAAAATAATTTCTCATCATCGAGCAGAATTTCGTTTCTTTCCTTTTCTGAAAGAGTTTACTCTCAAAACCACCGAATATTGTATCCACGCATGTAGACATACGCACACTGCATATGAAATTTCGATATATTTAGTTTGATCGACTTTTTCATGACGCTATTTCCTCTTTTCACGACCAATCGACCAAATGCCTCATGTTGAAGTTCGGCATAAAATCTATTTTTGTCTGAAAAATTCTGATCATTTTTTGATGCTCTGCCTAGTTCTAAATTTTTTGACCACTTTTAACGATGCATTTTCTTCGCAAAAAATGGGACAAACCCTTTCACTTCGACCTTCAGTATCATAAAATATGAAAGCTGATCAGATTGTTCGTCTGAGTGTGGTGATTAACTTGTAATGGCCACATTTTCATGACGATTTAAAATCACAAGTAATCAGACTGTTTTTTCGAATTATCGATGCGAGGAAATGGGAACCGTAGCACAAATACGCGTTTAAACTTTTCCTTTTTTCTAACGAAAAGTTCATGGACACATTTTTTGATGATCATTTGTGAATGATTGCTATTCAATTAAAATCCTTGCATCCTTATAGGATGCAGAGCAGATGATCATATCGAAAAGTAAATTGCGTTTGGGATAATAGGTCATCTCAAATAATAACTTTCAGGAGTTTAAAATAGATTGCTTTTTATAACTCAAGTACAGTGGAATACAAGCGATTTAAAAATCTGGATTGTTTTCATGAATTCCTGTTCAGATCCGTATACTAAACATGTGAGTGCGTTTTGCGGAAAACATTGTTCAAGTTATTACTGTTCGTATTTTTGGAAATTGTTTAATTCATCCTTTAGTGGAGATATTTCCTTGAATTTGTGCTCCTCAAACATGGAAATGGAACAGTGAAGCTGCTGGTACACAAAAAAAGTCTAAATCTAGAATTTACACAATTTTTTATCGATAAAACTTGAAGCGAACAAAAGGAAAATGTTGCACGAAGTTTTTATACCATCAGCCGAACGATTAAGTTAAAGCTTCAGATGGGGAAGATAACATTATATGGGTTCATGCAAAACACTTTTGGGATTTTGGTCATTCCGGCCAGCTCTGATTCTGATGAACTTTGGCTAGAATGAAAGTTACGTTTGTTGCCAGCAATGCACGGAAAATAACCACGTGTCTTACACGAATTAACCATTCAGCAGAAAATGTGATTTTTCCTATTTCAGGGCAAGGTTCAGGTTTTTCTCAACGCGTTTCGGTTGATCAAAGGTCACCATCAATAAAGCTGAGATTTGTGTGGGAAAATCTACAATTACTGCATTCCTTTACCATCCTGCATAATTTCACCCAAAAGAAAAAAATAGTACCAAAAAGCAGGGCGAGGATCATATATATTCAATGGCAACTTTTTCCTATAAAGCTTTCAAATCCTTTTGC